GGCTAACAGCACAACAAAAGCGGGGCAAAACGAAAGAACCAGAATGTTTGTGGTGTACAAAGTTACAGGATTTCAGCAGGAAGTTACAGGATAAGTGTGGAAATGAAGCAACGTGATTGTCCCGAAACTTTTGCAGCCCTAGACAGTACTGAAAGGGGGATTGCATGTGAATGCCTTGAAAGAATCATGAGAGGAAATCATCTTGTATGTGCAATAGAAAAACATGATCTGGAGGTGCCAAAACAGCACCCTGTAAAGGAAGGTGAAAATATAACCCTAGGTAAAACCCTAGGTAAGGAGGGGGCGGAGATGTCAATGTGCTTCTTTACACATTGCAACCATTATGATTGTGATGGTTGAATGCCTTTATATGCAGAAGTAAGACCCATTAAGTCATGTGGGGCTAAATTATTGGTAACTGGATATAAGGCATTCTGAGAGTAGGAGTGGGGCGAAACCAATAATGGATCCAAAATTTGGTGGACTTCCTGGTGAAGGTTCCAATATGGGCCTCTCTTTTGCAGAGCTGGAACTGGCACAGCAAAAATAGTGAGGACAACCACCCCACTTATAAAGAATATAAAGAATATAAGGAGCTTGGCCTGTAAATCACAAAACTACACCTGCAAGTTCCGCTCCCATCATATAGGAAACTTGGTAAAAATGTTTCATTTTGGCAGACATAGTGATCACACATATGAAATAACATGAGTTTGGGGAGGTGTATGCCGCCTTTCAGATGAAAACAGAAGGGAGACTGCTTTATGTTGGGCAACTGCTTTTAAAAAGAAAAAGGTTTTCACACAGTTCTACATATAAATATATTGCATAATGATTTTTATTTGAAAGACTCATTTTTCTTACAGACAAGAAAATTATGCTGAGTTAAACATGTTTTCTTTCTCATGTCTCAGAGAACCTGGAAGTCTGAGTAGTGATTATTTCCCCTCTAATTACCAGGTTAACTGTGATTACATTTTCTCCAATTCCCTGTTGACCTGTAGTGGGCACTAGGAAAATTACAAAACAACAGTGAAATATAGGTTTGTATTATTTCCTGTGCCACTTAGAACTAAGGCTAGAAATAGACACAACTTCATCAGTCTGTTAGCTGCAACTTCACACTGCATAATGATTTGCTTAAATCAATTCCATACCAAGTGAGTTGAAATTAGGTCCCACGGAAATCAAGGTGAGAAACTAGTAATAATTTAAGTCCCTTTCAATTTAGTAGGCACTGTATTCAATTAGGCATGATCAACTGAACATTTTCATAGAGAAACTGCAGTTCTGAATAAGTTTATTATCTCCTCTGTAATTATCAAATTAACTATGATTAATTCTCCTTGTTTTCAAAGTTCCTGGGGAGTGCCCATGGCCATGAGCAAAACAATCGGTTGGCACTGAATAAACCATCCATATCTCTTTGCACCATTCAGAAAAGAGAAAGAGACAGGCAGAAATCCATCATTCTGAGATGCAAATCATCACATCTACTGAATAAGCAGCCATTTGAATCTAATTCCAGGATTCACAGCTCCTCGAACAGCAATGCTGGAATAGGTGAAATTCTTTCTAGAAATCAGATTTTAATAGAAAATGATGGTGTTAGTTGTGTTAGTATTTGTGCTATTGCCTGAAGCAGTGTGCAAGCTTCCAAATGCTAAATGTAGTACCAGGGACCCTCTTCCTATTCTCCACAAGTATTATCAACCTGGAGATCTCAATATCGCTGGCATTTCTTCGCAAAACTTTGTGTTTTCAAGTCCAATGACATTTGAAAAACCTCCCTCTACTGAGCTCTTTGGTGATATCATGTAAGGAGTTTATAAAATGTACCTGTTCTGATAAAATTATTGCAAGCATGGCTTTGTGGATAAGCATTTACATTCACCATAATCTTTTTTCGAATTGTCTGCTGTGGGGTAATCTATTTCCTTATCTGCTATAACTTGTTCTATATAATACAAGGTGCAATAACTGTCCTACTCAAGAATTGGGTCAGTCCTATATTTGCACTTCTGAACTAACTGCCTGGAACAGCCTATTAAATTGTAGGGGAATGATGTTTTGAACTGCATTGTCTATTAGATATTCTGGATTGGATAACAATTTAAAGGCAATTATTACCATCCTGGATTATCATACTGGTACTTTCAGTATATCTTCTTTTGTTAAATATATGGTATCTGATAATTTCAAAAATTGGAATAGACCTGATTTAAGCAATACAAAGCCTCCCAACTTGGCCTTCTTTAGCCTCTACCAAGTGCCATTATTAGATGCATATTGAGAAGCGTAAAGGGGATAAAATGCCAGTGGATGCATGACCACAGTCAACTGACTCTTTCCTGTATATGAGCTGTAATACATAGCTTGATGAAATGCCACATTGTATTGAAATGTGGCCCATATAATCTGCAGCAGATGCACCATTTTGTGGCATGTAACTCTCCTTACAGGGTACTGACCCAGCTCTACCAGCACATTGTGGCCTTGGCATTTGCTGTAAGGGAAATCAATTTAAACCCTCGACTCTTACCCAACATCACTCTGGGCTTCCAGATCTATAATAGCCAGTTCAGTGCAAGCGCAACCTATCAAGCTTCAATGGAACTTCTCTCGACTCAGCAAAGATTAATCCCAAACTACAAGTGTGACACCTGGAGCAACCCAGTAGCAGTCATCGGGGGACCTAATTCCAACGTCTGCCTCCATATGGCAACCATCTTGAGCAACTACAAGATGCCACAGGTAAGCTTTGCTCATGAGCAGGATATATGAGCAAACCACGGGGTGCTTCTCCTGCTTTATAGATGTGGTTTGGAGGTTAAAATGGATGTGGCTGAAATCACACTGGAAGCCTTGCAGGGAAACTTGACTATGGGGAGAATGTCTACATTATCTCAGATCCATTTGGCATAAAGAGGTTTGCTGCTCATGCAACAGGACTTCTTGTCTCTCTTGTCCTCTGTGTCGCCTTCAGCATGCCCCTTGGGTTGTGGCAAAAAAGGCCCTCTCACAATCCACATGAGTGTGCTTCAGAAATAGGAGGGGATCCACCAGCCTTGCATCTAAGACATGTTTGTGATCAGACCTGACACCTCTTGGAACATACACAGCTGTCTCACCAACTTATGGTGGGAGGAAGTGCTATTGTTTGTAGTGACCCAAAGGTAAAGACACTCAGCGCTGTCTGAAGACTGGGATTATTTTTTTATAAATTTTTAAGATAAAGGTACAGTGTATATAGGCTCTGAAATAGAAATCTCTATTTGGCATTGATCAATGCTACCATCAGGGACGCGGGTGGCGGTGTGGGTTAAACCACAGAGCCTAGGACTAGCTGACCAGAAGGTCGGCGGTTCGAATCCCGGTGATGGGGTGAGCTCCTGTTGCTCTGTCCCAGCTCCTGCCAACCTAGCAGTTCATAAGCAAGTCAAAGTGCAAGTAGATCAATAGGTACCGCTCCGGCTGGAAGGTAAGCGGCGTTTCCGTGTGCTGCTCTGGTTCGCCAGAAGCGGCTTAGTCATGCTGGCCACATGACCCGGAAGCTGGACGCCGGCTCCCTCAGCCAATAAAGCGAGATGAGCGCCGCAATCCCAGAGTCGGCCACGGCTGGACCTAATGGTCAGGGTTCCCTTTACCTTTTAATGCTACCATCAGAGTTTAAGATGAGGTTAGACTGGCAGAAGGTTCAAAAGAAAATGTCGATGCTTCTTAGGTGATATTTTGTGGGAAGCATTATGATTTAGTAGTACAGTACCTGTCTTGCCAGAGATACACACATCTACCTACATGATCATGATAATATGAGAACGTACTCTTTTATTTTAATGTGTCTTCAGCTTGCATATGGTTCCGCACCAGTCCTGGATACTGAAAAACAAGGTGCTTTCATCCAACAGATGTTCCCAAATGGGACTCACCAATATATGGGGATTCTCCAGCTACTTCTTCATTTCAGGTGGACATGGATTGGGGTGCTTTATCTGGATGATGACAACGGAGAGAGGTTTGTGCAGAATGTGCTTCCCATCTTCTCCCAAAGAGGCATCTGCTTTGCCTTCATAGAAAGTTTACCAAGACAAGGATCCTCCAGTGCTTTTGGTGAAGTTGTGGGCAAGGGGATCAAGATGACTGTGGGAATCATGGCGAGCACTGCCAGTGTGGTGGTTGTGCATGGTGAAATTCAGACCATGCTTGTCTTGAGGACATTGATTCAGTTTTGGGAATTCAGTCATGGCCTAAAGAATACCAAACTCCTGGTTATGACAGCTCAAATGGATTTCACCTCATTTCATTTGCAAAGACAGTGGGATATAGACTTCATCCATGGTGCTCTGTCTTTTGCAGTTCACTCTAAAGGGGTGTTAGGATTCCATAAATTTATTCAGAACAGGAACCCCATTTCAGAAAAAGAAGACAAATTTCTTAGAGTATTCTGGGAACATACATTTACCTGTCTTCTCCCTGACACCAAAGTAGACATGGCAAATGAGGAATTCTGCACAGGAAACGAGAAGCTAGACACTCTTCCAGCATCAGTTTTTGAAAGGAGTGCAACTGCTCACAGTTACAACATCTACCTGGCTGTTTTTGCTATAGTTCATGCCCTGCAATCCATGGATTTGTCCAATTTCAAAAAGAAAGCAATTGCAGGAGGACAGAGAAAGAAGTTTCTCATCAAACTGCAATGGCAGGTAAAATGAACAAAAGAAGAGGGGTCCCTCTCTGTGCCAAGTCTGGGTTTGGGGCAGCTGCAAACTTGGTTTCTCACTAATCCATTCTTCAACTTGTTTTCTGGTGTTTCTTGCTCACAGTAAACACATTAAACACTGGTTAGTTTGGAAATACCTAATACTTGAGGACCTTCCTTTCAGAGCCAGCCTTCTTTCTTTCAGGACCAAGACGTGCAGTGGCCTCTAATTTGAATGCAAATTATCTACCTTTTACTGGATATTTGGCCATCCAAGTTTCTTGGAGCATGATAAACCCAAATGCTTGATGAAATAGTTATCCAGACTTCTGGGCACGTAGGTGAACCAGCCTGCCGTGTTCCAGGAGACAATTTTGAGGGTCATAAGTGCCCAATGAGCAAGCTGGTCTTTGCACCTTCATACTGTTTGGTTAATGTCACTGTGGCTAAAGTTTGTTTTTCATGTTGGTGATCTCCACAATACGTAGAAAAAGCACATATTTCTAATAGTATAGGAAAGCAACCCCCACACACACCAAAACATGCTCAGTAGCCTCCAGAAGACAAGGAACATGGTGGAACAAGGGGGTTTGCCCTGCTTGAGCCCATAGTACCATAGAGGAGAACATCACTGGCTTCCTGCTTGGAATAATGAACTGCTACATCCTGCACTGATCATTTAAAGATCCCATTGATCCTAGTTTGAAGTGTGTTGTGTGTTGTATTATTGCCTTGATTCTCTCTTAAGATCTCTCTCTCTCTCTCTAACTCTTCCCTTTAGCTCCAACGTTTTCTACGAAATGTTTCATTTAATAACAGTGCTGAGGGAAAGGTTTCATTTGACCAAAATGGGGTCTTACAATCTGGATTTGATATTATAAATTGGGTCGCATTCCCAAATCAATCTTTTCTTAGAGTCAAGGTTGGAAGCATAGACCCAGATGCTCCCCAAGCATTCACTATTGATGAGGATGCCATTGTATGGCCTAATATCTCTTACCAGGTAAGGATGCACGAAACTTTTCAGATGGTTCTCATTATTTCCCCAAAGTTTAAAAAGCAGTTTATTCTTCAGAATTGGAACCAACTTTGCCTCTTTGAGAGCCAGTGTGGTGTAGTGGTTAAGAGTGGTGGACTTGTAATCCGGTGAACTGGGTTCACGTCTCCGCTCCTCCACATGCAGCTGCTGGGTGACCTTGGGCTTGTCACACTTTTTTGAAGTCTCTCAGCGCCACTCACCTCACAGAGTGTTTGTTGTGGGAGAGGAAGGGAAAGGAGAATGTTAGCCGCTTTGAGACTCCTTCGGGTAGTGATAAAGCGGGATATCAAATCCAAACACCTCCTCCTCCTCCTCCTCCTCCTCCTCTTCTTCTTCTTCTTCTTCGTCTTCGTCTTCTTCTTCTCTTTCTCATGTCAGCTAGATGAGGCTCGTTTATCTTAAGCACAACCAAGGTGGAAGTTCAATCAGTCCTACTGCATAGAAAGTAACTCCTAAGACTCAAGCAGATTTATTATGCCATGCCAACATCAATCTCGTTCTCAGCTGTAGATTAAACTATATCATACAAACTATCTAGACCTATTTTTTGAATGTTAAAATATTCTGTGCTTTCTTTTATGTACAGTTGCTTCCCATTTCTTTATGCAATGACAATTGTCATCCAGGTTATAGAAAGGGCAAGAAGGAGGGGAAGCCATCTTGCTGCTATGATTGCCTTCCATGTCCAGAAGGAAAGATCTCCAACGAGAAGGGTAAGCATGATAATGTATCAAGTTCTCCAAAGTATTGCATGCAGTCCACTGGATGCATATAAGGCTGATACTCATTTGTCTAATGATTCTAAAAAATGTTTGTAGTTCTGTTTTCCATGTATTTTCCTACAGATTTTTGGATTAGAACTCTATAACAAAGCTCAAAAAAAAAAAAGTGAATTCTGAAGGTTAACAGTGTTTTCAGTTCTTGTATTATTTCAGGAAGAATGGGCAATTTTTATTGGAGATGCTAATATTGAACAGTTTGAAGTGAATGGATACATGAAAACAAAGAAATATAGCTCTGGAGAGCTTCATTTACACCCTTACTCCACAGAGTTTGAGAGCAAAGAAACCCAAAGGCAACTCCCTTCAAAATGGAGATTTGCAACCAAAAGCCTTTGTCATCTGATCTAATGTTAATCACCCACATGTTAGCTGCTAGAGAACAACAACCAGTTAATTATCAACTCAGTTAAAGCTCAGAGAGAGCTTTTCTTGCTGTTCTTTGGCTTTAATGGAATCTTCAAGTTAAGCCCTTTCACCAAAACAAACAGGCAGTCCCATTTCAGTGTGAATTAAACCAAATCTGTATTACAACTCAAACGGAATGATCCTTTCCTCCATAAATCATTTCAGTTTGATGGTGATGGTTAAGAGAATACAGACTGATATGTGTAATGTAGGCAGCCCTGAAGGGTTTTTAATGTGTGACATTTTAATGTATTTTTGATCTTTGCTGGAAGCCACCCAGAGTGGCTGGGGAGCCCAGCCAGATGGGTGGGGTACAAATAATAAATTATTAGTAGTACAGCTGCATTTTATGCCACTTGACTAAAACAAAATAAATGTTTTGATATATACACCCAGACAAGATGGGAGCAGAGGCATTATTCCCATTTTATCATGGACAAAAAGCAGCGGTGGTATTTCCCTGTGCCACTGAGCTCTTAGCGTTTGGGTGCAATATTTTATATCATGTTTTGACCTATTTGCCTTCATTGGGGCTTTTCCAATATCAGAGCATGTACAACAAAATGAAACGTGTTTGAAAATTACATTTTCTTTTTTCAGACATGGATGCCTGCTTCCAATGTCCAGATGGACAATATCCAAACATTGACCAGGATTCATGTATTCCAAAATATATAACCTTCTTGTCTTATGAGGAAACATTGGGCCTCGGTTTGGCTCTCCTTGCTCTTTCCTTGTCGTTCATCACAGCTTTGGTGCTGGGAATCTTCATTATGCACAGGGACACTCCCATCGTCAAAGCCAACAACCGGAGCCTCACCTACACTCTCCTCATCTCCCTCATGCTCTCCTTCCTTTGTGCTTTGCTCTTCATTGGCCAACCTGAGAAGGCAACCTGCCTCCTCCAACAACTTGCTTTTGGCTTCATATTTACTGTGGCTGTATCAAGTGTGCTGGCTAAAACCATCATTGTGGTCATAGCTTTCCGGGCCACCAGGCCAGGGTCTAAAATGAGAAAATGGGTGGGGAAACACCTGGCCACCTCAATTGTTCTTTCCTGCTGCCTGATTCAAGCCATTATTTGTACTGTGGGGTTGTCAATCTCTCCTCCATTCCCATATTTGGACATGCACACAATGCGTGATGCAATTGTACTGCAATGTAGTGAAGGTTCACCTCTCATGTTCTACTCTGTGCTGGGCTTTTTGGGCTTCCTAGCCATTGTCAGCTTCAGTGTGGCTTTCCTAGCCAGGAAGTTGCCTGACAGTTTTAATGAAGCCAAGTTTATCACCTTCAGCATGCTGGTTTTTTGCAGTGTGTGGTTGTCCTTTGTTCCAACCTACCTGAGTACTAAGGGGAAGTACATGGTGGCTGTGGAGATCTTCTCCATCTTGTCCTCCAGTGCAGGCTTACTGGTTTGTATCTTTTTCCCAAAAAGCTATATAATTATGTTGAGGCCTGAGCTGAACAACAGAGAGCAGCTAATACAGAGGAAAAAATCATCATTGTAATGTTGTACTCAAGCCAACTAACGTTATTCATCATTTAACCGCATTGTAAGCAATGGAAATTTAGCCATAGCTAAATATCCACCTTGTCATCTATGAAACTCACAATGCAATTCCAACTAAATATACTTATCCTCAGCTAAGTTGCACTACTATTGCAGTCCCAATCATGAGAAGAAAATGAAAGAGACAAGAAAAAGAAAAAGAGGACAGAAGAAGAGAAAGAGAAGGAAGCAGAAAGAAGACGGGAAAGAAAGAAGAGAAATAATTGAAAAAAGAAAAGAAACAATAAAGGGGGGGAAAGGACTTAATGATTTTCCATCTGCTGGTTACAGAAAAAGCAGGGGAGGGGGATTAAGACATTTAGTCCAGATATCACCATCTTATCTACTTTCTGTTAAATAATATTTTTTTTAAGTCAAAGTGTCTCAAATCATTCATTTCTTTTCCCCATGAAAAGTCCAAGAGGAGTTCCCAAATTATTAATATTATTGGTAAATGTTGTCAGTGTTTGTAAAATGCAAAAAAGGAGGAAAGGGTTCTGACCTCCCTTTGTCTCCTCAGCCTGGTCCTCGGACCCTTGTCGGCATAAAAGAGTCCAGAAGAATATCCTTGCAGAGTTTTATTCTTAAAAGTCTTTGTGCAAAAGCGACTGAACAACTATACACACCAACACTAACCAACCAACCAACCCAAACACCAGCAACCAAACTAACATTTCTCACTCTCTATATACAACTTGGTGCAGGCCGCTGAGTCATGCTGACCCAGCTTTTTAAGCATTAAAGAAACAGCGGCCATTTTGGCCATGACAAATGTCAACCGTGTTTCCCCCCCTTAATTATCAAATTTTCTCCATTAATTCTCTCCACCATTTCTCCAGACTGAGTAATAGCAAATTCTCCCGTCTGTGTCCACAAGTCTCCCCACTTGTGATCACATATTGGAATAATATCCCATAATTCTTGTCCCGTGTCTTTAAGAAATGTGTGACTCTGCACGCTTTGTTGTTAGTTTACACCTTCCTTTAATAAAGGATTGGATCTGGCCATTCTCATGTTTTTGCTCAACCCCTCCTTTGGGCCTGCAGTTCAGGACAGCGTGCTTGGCATGCCTTGTGTTCATCCACATTTGAGTGGAAAAAAATGTTTGGTGAAAAAAGGTAATGTCTTGATTAGACTAGGGCAAGAAGGCTCACCAGATCTTTGGCTGGAGCTATCCAAACACCCCAGCTAAATTAGAAAACTGCCTCTGTAGCAGGCCTGGTGTTTTGATATCTCAAGATTGGGTCTGTCATCACGTAATTTTTACAACCACCAGAACAAGTCTAGTGTCATGAAAGAAAAGCAGGATTGTTCTCCCCCTCAAAAAAAGCTTTAAAACATTTTAAAAACATTTGTCTTAAGGGAAATAGTGATGGTGAGGTGAATGTTACTATATTCTGAATATATATATATATTTAAAAAATCAACAGCAGGATTTAGTCATTAACATAATTTAATGGTTGGCCTATGTATCTATGGAATAAGTCTCCTTTTCTTGGGCCCTGAATACCAGAGAAAATGCAACGGTTCCTATTATCTGACGGCCCCATGGACTGAGATTAGGAAATGAATACTTTTTAAGGTACCATTACCATCTGATGCCAGATGATATTCTGTGAACAACTCTGAGACCCCCCCAAAGTATAGGGTGGTATGTAAATTCAATAAAATCATCATCACTACCATCATCCTGAATTAGTGATAGGATTGTTCCTGGAATCTGACCACAATTGTGGCATTTCATAGGGCTGAAAGGCCAACACAACTTTGTGTTAGTCTTTGTTTGTTTCTTGATGCCTCTCTTTTTGGGGGGCCTTGTAGATGCTTTGGAGCTTATTGTTGCCACACCAGGGAGGGCTGTGAAGCCTACTGAGTTCTGCTGATATGTTGGGGGGGGGATATTCTTCTGCACCTGCACAGTAAATGCTAAACATGTGATTAACTCCCCAGTAATTATCAAATCAACTGTGATTACAACCGCTTCTGCAAATATCATGGGAAATTCTATTGGCCATTGGCAAAATAGTAAATTCTGACTCAAGCTAGATATTAACATCCGCTGTGCCATCAGACTGAGTGCCAATAAACTGCACTCTTGAATGTCCCGGCTTTTGAGCTCAGCTGACTGAGTGATTATTCTGCTCAGATGATGAAACTAGCAGGCACTCAAATGCTAATGTGGGAACTGATAAAATGGTTTCTCACTGGATGGTTTTCATCCAAGATTGTTCTATTTGGAATCCTGGCATTAGTGTGGCTGCCTCAAGCTGGTTGCAGGCTCCCTGTTCTTAAATCTTGCAGGGATGAGCAGACTCCTAGTCTTCACAACTATTATCAGCCAGGTGATCTCATCATTGGGTACATTATTTCACAGATCTACATGTCTTCTTACCAGATAACATTCACAAAGCATCCCTCTCAGGACGTAGGTGATGAGCTCATGTACGGAGCTAGGTTTTAATGATGATGATGACGACAATAATAATAATAATCTTTTCAGATAATATTCTCCGGATGGTTCTATGAAGATGAGCTTTAGCTTCAGTAGTTAGGGGGATGACCTGAGCTCATTCCTTACTTCCTTTTCGGAAAGGCATTCTGCCTCTACCGCTTCCTTTTGGTATATTCTTATTTGCTGTGCTGTTGTAGATGATCATATTAGCATTAAAAGTAGTAATAAATGCAGATATTCTCTGACATCAGTTCTCTCAGGAACCATGTGGACAATTTCTGAAGCTGAGTGTACAATTGCTAAGCCTAATCCTATTATTTGTAAGTATGATCAGTCCTGAGGCTTCACTGTTGCCGGCATTATTTCTCAGATTTACATTATAGTAAGCTTTTCATAGATTTTATCTCTGTTGAATTTCTTGAACTTGCTGCACACTGCTGAGAGACTGTTGTCAAAACATGTGCTACCCCCCTGACATATTTAGAAGGCAGCTGGGCTGCCATTGACCCTGGCTGGCTTCCACTTGAGGTTAGAAATGCGCTTATTTCTTAGTTTTCATGACCACAGTTATCAGTTCCTGTTGTTGATCATGTGAGCTTCAGGTATCTTTTGACCTGATTTTTAAAGAACCCAACAACAGCTGGATTTTCTTGATTATAGGTGACAGCCAACTAAATCATGCTAACAGTAGATGCTTTGAAATCAGTATCTGTTTATTCCAATGGATCTGTTCTGATCAGCCTTGTCTCTCACCCCATATATTTACTAGATATTGTCTTGTATTTTCATGATGTGACCTCCTTGATATTTATCAAGTGGAAAGCAGTCCGAAAAAATAATCAAACTTCCATTGTAGGTTTCTGACTCAAAATTACCAGAACATCCTGGCCTTTGTATTTGCTGTTAGGGAGATAAATTGCAACACTCATATCTTACCCAATGTCACCCTGGGTTTCAACATCTATGAGAATTATTTCCATCCAATATCTACACTTCAAGCCTCTATGGAAGTCCTCTGCACACGAGGAAGATTTATCCATAACTACAAATGCGAACCCCAGAACAGTTTGGCAGCGGTCATTGGGGGACCTGATTCTAATGTCTGTCTCCACATGGCAGTCATTTTGAACAACTATAAGACTCCACGTGTAAGTTGGCTACCCAAGGAACTGGAAGTTTATAAATCTGGGGTGGAGGCAGGGGTGGAGGCAGGAAGTGTCTCAGAGAGTCAGGCTGCATGCTGCTTAAGGAACAAATATAGACCAAGGAAAAATAATCCTTAAACTGCCTTCATGTGCAGTTCCAAACTGCCGGTGTTTGGTTCCCCGCTCCTCCACCTGCAGCTGCTGGGTGACCTTGGGCTAGTCGCACTTCTCTGAAGTCTCTCAGCCCCACTCACCTCACAGAGTGTTTGTTGTGGGGGAGGAAGGGAAAGGAGATTGTGAGCAGCTTTGAGACTCCTTAAGGGGAGGGAAAGGTGAGATATCAAGTCAAAACTTCTCCTCCTCCTCCTCCTCTTCAAACTAATATTCCTTTTATGACCTCTGTTAGTCCAACTCCCTATTCACTGCAAGAACCCACAGCATTCCTAGCAAGTGGACATCCAGCTCTCCTTAAAGACCGCAGATGATTGAGAAATGCAGAAGCAATGCTGGAGAGTCAGGCAGGAGCGTAAGTCAAACATAATTATGGAATCTTTACTCCAATCTAGCAGTTTGAAAGCACGTCAAAGTGCAGGAAGATAAATAGGTACCACTCCGGCGGGAAGGTAAACGGCGTTTCCCTGCGCTGCTCTGGTTCACCAGAAGTGGCTTAGTCATGCTGGCCACATGACCAAGAAAAACTGTCTGTGGACAAACACCAGCTCCCTCGGCCAGTAAAATGAGATGAGCGCTGCAACCCCAGAGTTGTTTGTGCCTGGACTTAATTGTCAGGGGTCCCTTTACTTTTACCTTTACCTTTACTGCCAATCCATGGAGGTGGAGTCCTATGCAGCAACATTTATTTTATTTTTTAAGAGAGAGTCCCTTAGACACAGTAACACAGTCATAGGAATTGGGGTGGGGTGGGGAAGAGAGATATGTGAAAATGGCCTCTTGGACACAGCAGCTAAGTTGCCAGCCTGATCACCATTTTGCAATATGCACAATGCCCTGGATCCAGCATTGTTCCAGGGATTTGCAATGGTGTTGGGAACAGGAGAAAGGGATGGCAAAAAAAATAATATTTCGAGGAAAACCCTGCAAAGTAGTTTTCTCTTCCTACAGGGATAGATGAGAGAAAGAATAACTGTGTTTTGATAATGTCTAGAGGGGGACGGGAATCCTTCTGCTTCATAACTAGCCATCAAAGACTAGGTCTGTTTATGACCTCAATGGATGATTGGAAAAAAGCATTACCTTTTGGCAAATGTATCAATGTATTTGGTGTAGGAAATCAGGTAACGGACATCAGGGGAAGACAGCCGTCTCTCTCTTTGATCTGTACAGCAACATAAAAATGCAACT